GCTTAAATAGCACTTCATGTGTATGTGTGTAATTCAGCACCCTAAAGCTATTATAAAACTCAGATACATGGACTCTGATCCTTGATGCTGGGTAAATGTGCTAAAATCATAATCCTAGCAACCATTTATCCAGAGTCATAGCTCACACTGGTGCACCAGTTGCATCATAGGGCCAGTTTAGAAGTCTTTATGGAAGTAAAATGTAGGGTTTAACTAAATAAAAGCAACACAGGAACTCATGTTAGCCATTAGAAAACAAATGTGTGGGGATATCTGCAGTGTTAAAGGAGAGTTGCTTCTATACCAGATACACACAAAAAAAGATTGTTACTTGATGCATTTGTTACAAAGACCAACATAGCTTCAGCCTGAAATACATGCATTTTTTGGAAATTGTCACAGACTTAAGATAGGTAATGCACAGTTTGTTTTCACTGTGCATACCAGGACTATATCAGGATCAAAATATATGAAGCAAAGAGAGGAAATGAAACAAAAGTCTTCTCAATACTCTCATTGAAATCAAATGCTTCATTTGATCTTTTCATAACAGGTATTTGATGGTCCTAACAATGAAGCACCACTTCTTAGAACACTCTGTGGAACACAGAATCCTCCTCCTATCACATCCTCCAGGAATCTGATGTACGTCCGACTGCGCTCCGATTCAACCATCCAGCACAGGGGCTTCAGTGCTCGCTTTACTGAAGGTAATTTCATCACGTACATTAATGCATATTTATCTAATCACCACTTTGTTTGTATCAGACACAATCTATTAGCACAGCTGATAACAGGAAGTGTTGTTTCTATACATGCAGCACCCCAGTGTGTATCTGTACCAGGACTGCATTTTTCCAAATTATAGATTCTTCAATGGGAAAAAAATTGTACTTCTTCTAGCAAGGCATCTAGCACACATCAGCCACCTCTTATTCTTCCTCCCTAGAGGGTTAGCTATCCATAACTGTCCTGAGAAAAATGAGCAATTGGCAGTTTCCACAGACCTAGTGACAAAATAACATTTTATATGTCCACCCATGCGCATGAATCTGAAAAGCTATAAAAGAATTCTGTGTGGTGCTGTTGATGAAGTCCATGGATTCAGGCCCACCCTGCCAAACATCAGCGATTCAATTTGTGGAGAACTAATTGGTATTTTACATGGTTTCCTTTTTAATGAAAAATGGCACCAACTGGGCAGAATTTTCATGAAATTACATACTATTTGACTTTCATTTTTTCACAATAATTTGGGAAACACTTTTCCCCAAGATACAGCCATTTAGTTTTTGCAGAGAAAATCAATTTCTCTCACTTCATTCTCAGGATTCTTTTTTTCTGTAAACTAGTACTTTTCCCAGAAATGTTCTTTTTGTTTAAAAATATTGTGAAAAATTATAAAGAAAGGGAAGAATTTGAATCAGCAAAAATCTCAGAAACCCCAGTTACTGAGGTACTAGTTAGATACCTAATTAGGCATTTCTGACTAATGGCTGTGAGAACCTAATCTATTAAACTTTCTCAGAACACATTTACTAGATTGAGTCCTGCACAAGCCACGTCTGGTGATCAAGTGCTACCTGCCTAGGATGGAGGTGACCCAGCTTCTCTTTTCCTGAGAAAACTGTTAAGTCCCATCTCTTACTGGGTATTTTAGGCAGCACAGCACAATAGATGAACCTTACTCATTTGTACCTACCTCCTCAGCCTGCTGTTTAAAGCAGCTGTGATTAAACTCTGACCTGAGGTGTCTATGATGAGCCACTATGCTTAGAGATGAGGCTTGGCAGCACCAGCACTGCCAGCCAAAGTTATGCAGTCAGCCAAGCTCTTGCACATGTGCTACACTTCACACAATAGCAGTTTTGTTGAGGCAGCTCACAAGAGAATCCTGCCAACGCAATGTGGTGCCATCCTTGGGTGCTGGGAGGTTGTGGATGAGTTACATACGATTTTTTTTTTTCCTAGTTGCCAATATGGGCACATGACCAGAGAAATGGGTGTATTGCACTACCTTGAAACCAAATTATTTTGGCCCCAAGTTATTTGCTCTTCTGGGCTATGAAGAGATGAAAACTATCAGGTCTATTCCCAAATCACTCTGGCTTCTCTCAGATGGCCAGCCAGGTGTAGCATGGCCTGTGGATCCAGATCAAGAAATTACACTCAATGCTGGGAACTAGTCTCTTCTCTTCTTCTCTTAAGTCTCTGCTGATAAATTACTGCCATGAATTTTATCCTTGTTTCAAACTGATGCCCCTTGTCACAGTTTGTGCATTCATTTTCCGTACAGAATCTAAGACAAGTGATTTGTATCTATAAACATTTACATGTGTATATGTATGTATGTTTCCTTCTAAAGCCTGCGGAAGTGTCATAGAGTCAGATTCAGTTGGGGCAGCAATTTCCTCTCCTCTGTATCCTGCCAAATACCCAAACAATCAAAACTGCAGCTGGATTATTCAGGCTCAGGAACCATGTAAGTAAAAACATCTTTTATAGTTAGCTGGGATGACTAACATCCTCATCTTCTTTTTTGTAACAACAATGCAAAATTCCTCCTTTATTTCTTTAGGAAGTTCTGCATCCTGGTAGTTGGAGTGTGGCTCTCCTAATCTGATACCAGTCAGATTTCACTGCAAAAGATTTAGTGCATAGTGAGGAAAACAGTTTACAGTTTTGTCATCTTGGCCGATTTACTGTGACCCAAGTGTTATAGTTATAAATGAGGTGTTGAATACTATGTGAAGTTGGATTTGCCCATGAGAAAGTCTAAGGGTTTATATATAATTAAAGCACTTGTATTTAGCTGACCTTATTTTGGTCTGGATTTTTCAAGCTAGAGTTGTGTTAAATAAATCTACATTAGTAGCATAAAATAATAAAAAGTTTCATTTAAATAATGAGAAAAGGTACAGAGGAATTTCAAATACAATCAAAAATATATGAATAAACTGGTCTTATGTGCATAGATACACTCTCAGATATTCTGGTCTAATTTTACAGAGATTTTTAATTGATGATAAAATACAATCAGATACTGGTATTACCTTTAATACCCAGTATTACCTATATATTGTATAAGATTCCTAAAAAAACGTGTATGTGTTAAATCCTATAATAGTATCCTGGTGTCCTTATTTTTAATTGCAACTTCTCCCATTATGCAGCTGATATTTAGCTGCTGTTGTTAAAGCCACATAAAGTTCCAATCACATTTATAAGGTTATTTTGCTAATTTATAAAATGAAAATCAATTTGCCAAAGAAAACACCAAAACACAAATCAGGAGATAAGCAATAATTTTTTTTAGCATCGTTTCTTAATACAAATACATGAAAAGAACTTCATCAGTGCTGTTCCACACCTATACAGTGTTTATTTTTAAGGACAATCTTTTCCTGGATGCAGGTTGAAAATTCATACGTAGCTGTTGTCTGCTGAATTACATCAGTATGAGAGACCAGAAAACTGCTGCATAAGTAGTGACTTCCTCCACTTACCACCAGGACCAGCACATGCCACATGTTACAGCTGCATGTGGCCTCATTATGCCCATCACACAGTATTACATACATAAATAGCATACATACATCACATTGCATAACCACATATGATAGATGTAGCCAATGGCAAGTCGCAGGAGAGCTCCTGCTCTGCTTTTACTGAGTAGCCCAACAAGACTCCTGCTCTTGCCACCCACTGTGTTTTTCCTTTTTGCTCTGTATCCTGAGGACCTGCATTGATAGCTGTAATTGATTGACCAGGCAGGACACAAAAGAGTGCAGAACACGCATATGGAGCTGAATGCCAGTCAGTGGCACCCTGCTGAATGCAGTGCTGGGTCCGTGTCTGTCATCTCAGCTTATTCTAGCCAATTAAGTGTAGCCTGGTGAAAAGCAAAATATTTGTGTCAAATTCAGTTTGGTCAATGTGGGAGAAAACAATTATCATCTACATTGTGAAATTTTTTCTGACCTGGTCAAACTGCATAGGAGCTCCAAGGCCAGGAGTAACTACTGTCACAGACTGGAGTTGAGGACAGCTTCTCTTCTGCCAGTTCTTTGTTCATATTAGACAAGCAAGAGCAATATGAGAGTCAAAAATACCCTGAGTAAGAAATCCTCTTTTTTCAGGATGTAGCCTGCAGTGCAAGGATGTGGAAAATCCAATTCTGTACAAGTATAGCTGAGGGTAGTTAATGATCCTTAAACCAGTCCAATTGATGAATACAGAATGTTACAATACGATGAAAGAACCAGCTCTTTCTAAGCCTGGAGCAGGGCAGCGACAGTTCACATTTTGTCCAGATCTATGGTATAGATCGCAAAGGGACAGAAGGTCATGGATGTGTAGAAATAAAGTTTTGATTCTGAATGTGTGTAGATTTTCCATGTTGTATTTGCTGATGTTTTTGGTATATAACGAAACTGTTCAGATATAAGGAAACTTAGATTCATGCATACATGTTAAATCCTATGCTTCTAATGCTGATTGCATGAGAAAGTACTGAAAGGTGAAGAGATTCATCAGGACCTTTGCAGTAAAGATTAATGCACTTCCATCAAATTTATTCAACATATCATGGAAAAAACTACTTCAGATGTTATACTTTAGGGGGAATGATTGACCTCAGGGGAAAAAAGAAAAGATGATACATTTGTTTATGTGTAATGATTTCTCTATGAAATTACAAGCTGTACAAAAGTTTTTACTCTTTGCTGTTGCCAGTCAACCACGTCACACTGTCATTCACTGACTTTGACATTGAAAATAATGGGCAAAACTGTACAACGGATTTTGTGGAGATTTTGGATGGGAATAACTATGATGCTCCTCTTCAAGGTACTGTACCTTTCCCTTGTGTATTTCATATAGGTAAGCAGGAAAAGGTTTTCTGTGCATGGCCTCCTGCTTCGTGGATTTTTTTTTCTGATAACTAAAGCTTCTTGGCCACTCTGGCCAGAGGAAACTGAGAATGAAGGACAAGTCTTAGGTGTGAATGGCACTGTCCTCCCAGTTTGGGGTTGACTCCAGCTGCCTTTTCCTTCCTCTTTCTTCCTCAGAGTGAACAATATTGGGAACCAAGCTATTCAGTTTTAACTGAATTTCTAGTTAACTATACAAAAACATAACCCATACTCATAAGCACAGTCCATGCTAAACACAGGTGAAGAAAGCTGTAGATTTCTGGGAGCAGAAAATGTTTTTTCCTCGAGTCCTGGAAAGCCTGACTTCTCTGCAGTTTCCTGATTTTGCTATAGCTTTATTCTGGCATCTGTGTCCAGAACCATCACCTTCAAGTAGAAGGAGCAGCCCAGAGCAACAAAATTCAGTGCCTATACTGCCAGGAAGCCGTAAGAGAGCCCTGGCCACAGGATAGTCCTGACTTTCCTTGCATCCCCAGGGTTACCTCAAATTCCTTTCTGGAAAACTCAGAATATCTGCGTCTGATTATGCTCTCCCTTCCCCTACTTTTGTATATGCTTCTTTGTCAGGAGTGGACCTATACTCAATTTAAATGCTTTGAATTCATTTTTCAGTCCTTGGCTTCCTTGGCATTCATTTGGCAAAAGGACTTTTCTACACTTAAAGGTGACATGTAAGAAAAACTTTTTAGCAGGGCCTGTTGTGATTGGATGAGGAGTAATGATTTTAAACTAAAAGAGGATAGATTTAAACTAGATACAGGGAAGAAGTGTTTTACAATGAGGATGGTGAAGCATTGGAACAGGTTAACCAGAGAGGTGGTAGGAGTCCCATCCTTGGAAATGAGGCTTTGAGCAACCTGATCTAGTTGAAGATGTCCCTGCTCACTTCAGGGGGGTTGGACTAGATGACCTTTAAAGGCCCCTTCCAACCCAAACTATTTAGTGATTCTATGATAGTAGCTGCTATCTTTCTTTTTGCTATCAGATGCCTTTTTGTTAGATCATGTTTCATATTCCTAATCCCCATGTTACAATCCATTACAGGAGAACTGGTTTGTTATTTGTCAGTTGGTTTTTTTTCATCAGAAACCAGCTAAGTGAAATGGAAACTGCTGTCAGGTATATTTGATGGGTTCAGTTGCGGTTTGATTTTTTTTAATAGGGTGTAATTTCTGGATAGAGTGAACATGAAGGAGCTCAATGACAGAATAGCCAGTGATTAGGGTGTCTGGAGTACAGGAGGTCCTTCCTCTGTAAAAAAAAAATGCCACCAGATTTGAGTTCTGTGCAAATGAAATGGAGTATTTCATTTTTATGTAGACAAAATTGACAACTGCAATTGTAAGTAATTGTAAGTACTCCTGTTTGTTGTCAGGTATTAACTGCAAATGGTAAATTAGCAATAGTAATTACATGCTGACCACTCCTTTTTTTCCTCTCTGGGTCCTCTTTCAGGCCGTTACTGTGGCACTACTATGCCATATCCTATCACTTCTTTTGGTAATGCCTTGGTGGTGAAATTCATCTCCAACAACAACATTACTGCCAGGGGCTTCCATGCCACCTATGCTGCATCATCATCATGTAAGTCCATACGAAAGGTATTGCTACCTTATGCCTCTGACTTTTAAGAAAAAGAACAGATCCTTTACCTCTTTGTCTCTCTGACATTCCATTTTTTAAACGCCTCTGCTGCCATTCCTCTTTTTGGCCAAGGTCTCAGCAAGTATATTAACAAGCTAATGAATAAAGAGACAAGAAGTACTTTCTTGATTAGCAAATGCTCTGGGTCTGTCGAGATTTTTTTGTTGGGAGTTTTTTTATGCTGTCCTTTCCAAGCCTCTGCTGTCTCCTTCTTGTTGCAGCCTGCGGGGGGACTTTCCACATGGACAGAGGAGCTTTCAACAGCCCTGGCTATCCTGACCCATATCCACCCAAGAGCGAGTGTGTCTGGACAATTCTCAGCTCCCCTGGCAACCGGCTCCAGCTGTCCTTCATGTAAATGCATTGCCAGGGGTTATTATTCAGCCCTTTAACAGCCCTGAGGGAAGGATGCTCTGTGTTTATTAGGAAATGTAATTACCAGATGATAAACCTGAAATATGTTTTTAGAGAGACTTGGAAAGAGAACACAGCAGGCTTTAGTGGCAGCTTGCAATCAGTGTTCCCCTGTCTTAGTCATTGCTTATATTAAGGCATATGCAGCATTATATAAATAGGTGGTTTATTATTTGAGCAGCATGAGATGCTGAAGAAATCTGTTCTCACTGACTTATAAACAAGAGGAGGAAATTTAGCATTGCTCTGCCTTTTCTTTAGAAAGGAAATTAATACAATTTCCTTACTACCAGATTCATTGTAGTGTTTACTATATTGCTGAGTAATATAAAGGGTCTGGATATTCCACAGATTGTAGTGTTATTCCCTCCAGAGGGACCTTGACACACTTGAGAGGTAGGCCAATGCAAACTTGAAGAAATCTGACAGAGTGAAGGACAAGGTTGTGCACCTGGGTTGGGGCACTCCCAGGCACACCTACAGGCTGGGGAGACAAGTGAGTGAGAGCAGCCTTGCAGAGAAAGATGTGGAGGTGTTGGTTGATGAAAAACTTAAGATGACCTGGCA